TTGATAAACAAAGTTTCTTCTTGTTCTAATTTGAAATCTTTGCCCCCACAAGACTGTCTAACACTAGAAAGGATATTGATTCAGTTTTGTAAGCATACAACTCGAAACTCTATGCGATCTGCACATGCGCGTACTTCTAATGCCTAGACAGATGCATTCCGATGAGATCACAGATACCACATTTGTAAACGAATAGTTTTTTTGTCATATAAAAGCCAAGTAGCATATAACATTTACTAACGATATTCGTACATCAATACGCTTGAGCTTCCGGTCATGTAATAACACAGCCAACCCAATAGTTAATTATTAGATTCTTAACTTCCGGTGGTCCAAACGCGACATAATACATAGATAGATAGATTGATAGGCTAAAAGGTAAAACTAAAGTCGACCTAGCCTTCGGCTAGTCCGACTAATAAATTCTAAACTCCTCTCATCACTTCTCTTTTATTCTTTTTATAGGTCTTTGGCTGAAGAATTGGGAGTAGCTGACGCTCTGGATTGCCATTTGGAGAGAATTTCCTGTAACAATGAAATAAGTGACCAAGACATTGTTGAATTGGAACAACTGCTAGCTGATGCAGGTGCCGGAACCTGGAATAATGCTTTATGTGAATATGGAATAGATAAGCGTTCTCTTTTGTTTGCCATCGCCCGTGTATTTAGTTTCCTAAAGCCCAAACTTGAAGAATACGAAAGAATGAATAACCTGACGAGAAGTGACATAGTGGATGTAACTTTCCTGGCACACGGAGGAGTTTCCGATCCACTACTACCATGTCGAGTGCATTTTCTGAACGATGAACAGATTGAGTCTGTTATCTTGTACATACCATGGGGCTGCAAGCTTGATGCAAGTGCTGCTTATGGAATAGCAACAGGGACAATTACAACCACAAATGTTAACTTTATAGGGTTGTTGAATGAAGATAAGCGTCTGAGGTGCTGGAACAACCTGCCAATGGATGGCACGGAGATTCCAAATATTGTCTTCACTCGTGTTTCACTGGATGAGGTTGTCATACAGCAACTGCAACAAATTGACTCGGCATTTCGACGAGGTGTGCGTGGTGTGTTTGTACCTTTCTTGCCTGAAGAAACCAACCTTAACGAAATACCACTATCCATCCTGTGCATTGCTGTTGCATTATGTGCCTATTTGAAGAAGGTTCCTTGGAAATACAGGATACACATTGCTTCTTGTTTGTACCCCATGAAGTTTGATAGCAGCATTTTGGTTCGTTCTCGTGACCCACGGGATTTATGGCCTCGAGTGAAGTGCTCTCAGTACTGGGATATTCCTATTGTAGCTCCCCATCCAGTTACCATGACCATGAATATGGATAATACAGATCTTGGTCTTCAAAACGTTTTTCATTGCCTTAATAATTATTTCTCAGTTTGAACTGAATTCTAGCAGATGGATTGGGCTTAGAAAGTCATGAATACTGATTTAGATATAACTTTGGAATTCTGAAAGTTTTAACGTAATGGGTAATCTTTTATACAAAGTTAGTTTATTATAAACGGTAAATATATATATAGTCAAT